TTTTCTTTTTTATTTATTTATATTGAGTTTTTGCGATTTTCATACAATATAATTTGATGGTCTTCAGATCCCCTACCCTACCTTCCCCATCCGTCCCCCACCCAATTTAATATACTCTCATATGTATATGTATAAAACATAGCCTATAGCATCTGATTTGTGTTCCCAAATGTCTTTCAATATGGGTTCATCCACTGGGCCCATCAAAATTTCCATCTCTGTAAGACATTGTCTTTCCTCCTCCTCCCAGAAATCATCAATTGCTAAAAGTTCCTTAGGTTGGGTTGGGATTTCTTACCCACTTTCCTAGGTCTATGCTGAAATTCTGCCTGGTTTGAGCTTGCATAGGACTTGTGCATACTGTCACCATTGCTGTGAGTTCATGAGTAACTGACCAGCTATCTGGAAGACTGTTTTCTTGTGATCATCTACCCCCTCTGGCTCTTACAATCCTTTTGCCTCCACTTCTGTAGTGATTTCTGAGCCTTGGGAGGCAGAAACTTGAAATAGGTGTCCTATTCTGGGATAATCACTCTGCAGCCTCTTGTTCCCTGCACATTGACCAATTGTAGGTTTTTATGCTAATCACCATCTGTTGCATAAGAAAGCTTCTCTGGTAAGAGATGAGACATACATTCATCCTACGTGTAGAGGTAGCACTGAAGATATGTCACTTAGGGTTAAGGGTCTTACCGGCAGTTATTCTCTGCATTTGACCAGTTGTGGAACTCTATAGTAGTCTCCATCTGTTGCAAAAAAGAAACTTCTTTGATGAGGGGTAAAAGATACACTTGTCTATAATTTAGAATAAAGTAAGAAATTACATTGATCCAGGGATGTGGCAGAAGTGGGTTTTTCTCTAGGATCTATGACCTCTCCGACCATGTGTATTTGGCTATGCTTACAATACCAGGCATGAGTTGTCTTCCATTGAGTAGGCCGTAATTTCAATCAGACAACTGTTGATTACCCCCAAGATAAAAGTGCCACTATTGCACCAATAGTGATAGTTTGCTGGGCCAGTTTTATTGGCTTTACATCTGGGTAGGACCATTCTCCCTTGGCAGATTGTACAGAATCCTCTGATACTATGAGAGCTGGTCTTCAGGGATTCGCTTTCAGGTGAGTTCTAGCACGATTGCTCTAAGTCCTGTGTCCAAAGTGTAGCCTTAGTAAAATGGTAGGTATTTTTTTCTTTTTTAAAGTATATTTTATTTTTCTTAGTCTTTTATGTTATGTTTCTGTGGTAGATTTAAAAGTTAAATTTGAATTGCTAAAATAAGTAACTCAAAATTTAACCTTATCAAGTAAAATTGCATTAAAATGCTTTTCTTTTCACCAAAACTAGTACTCTTTCTCATATATATGGAAACATATATTTGAGCTTAAAATCTTTTACAATGGATGACTGTACTTTATTGCATAATTATCTCTCCAATACATAACATCTCCTGCCTTAAAGAAGCTATACCTTTTTGAAAAAAAATTATTATACTTGCATTACAATGATCAGTGCTAAACTAAAAAAGAGAAAGATTATAAGTGAAAAAGCAAATTTAAAGCTGGTCAGTTTATTTGGGATCCTATTATGAATGTCCTTGACCCCATTAAAAGTTGCTAAGAATTCTCTGGTTGGGGAGATGGATTAGCTTTCTACGGCTCTTGTAACAAATCACAACAGATCAATTTGATAAAATATCAGACCCTTATTGAGGAGGTGAAACCAGAAGTCTGTATCTGATTCACTGGGTTAAAGGCAAATATCATCATGGTTGACTTCTCTGAACTGTGAGCAGAATCTCTTTCTTTACTGTCTCCAGTGTTTAGAGCTTACACATCTTGGCACATGGCCCTTCTTTCCATCTTTTGAACCAGGCACTTAACAGATTTGGTCACATCACCAACCACCTTCTTTGAAGTCAAGTTTCCCAAAGCCTCCCTCTTATAAGGAGTCTTGTTATTACACTAGATTCTCCTAAATATTCAGGATAATCTCCTCCTTGCAAGATCCTTAACCTTACCACAACTGTAAGTCCATTTTTCAATGTAAGTTGACATTCATATGTTCTAGGGACTGGGACATAGACATGTTTTAGGGGGTTCTTGTTCATCCTACAAGAGGTGATGTACTTGGAGTGGAATAGGAAGGGACTGAGGATGGAAAAGCTCTCAGATGACACTTTTACATGATAATAGCATTTATATACTGGCTCAAGATGTGTCTTCAATGACATCATCCTGGACCTTCTGTAAGGGTCAACTCATTTAATCTACAGAATTCTGGGAGTGGGGCTGGCATTTGGTACACACCAATGGGTTCATATCAAGTCACCTTGATTGTTTCCCATGCCCAAGGCCACTCAAATAGAATACAGCAGTGCCAGTACCCTCACACCGTGGCTCCAACATCCATAAGTGGAGCCACTCTTCTGTACTGAAGATCCCCCCGCCCTTCATGTCTTGAGAAGCCACGTGCTTCAGAAACACACTGAGAAGTAGTGGATTCTTATCTGAGAGTGCCTAAACCTTCAGAATAAGAAAGGACTCTCAAGTCCTTTCTATCAAGTTTCTATTCTGACTCATTTTACTTCATAGTTGAGGAACCCAAGGTTTGACTGGAAATTAAGAGATAAACTAGCATCCAGAGATTAAGTGTCTTATGCAAGGCTACACAGTTGGGGTAGCAAAGCTATTTGGGCATGTTGTGTTTTTCCTCACCTAATTTAGGCTAAAGGTATTCACTCAGCTTTCTACATCCCCTTATGGCTGAATTGTGCCCCAACACCTTGTAGCTCAGAAGGCAGGCTCTATTTAAAGCAGGAATTGAGGTTACATGAGGCCTATGGGGTGGGGCAGCCATCTACTGTGGCTGGTGCTATAGAAAGAGCCAACAGAGATGCATATGCACAGATAAGAGGCCAAACAAGGTCACTGTCACAAGGTCACCATCGGTCAGCCTTGGTTTGCATAGGCCCCACGAGAAACCAGTCCTAGTGCATCAGTGAAATATGACATGAAAATGATCTCAAGAAAAAATATTAGAACAGTCTAATAAAGCAAGTGGCTGAACCTCACTGTTTAATCTAACCTTGGTCTTAGACAATATGGAGATAGGTTCTGTTTTCAACTTGACATACCTGAGAAAAAGGAACCTCAATCGAGGCATTTCCCCCATGTGACTGGCCCGTGGTCATGTCTGGGGGCCATTTTCTTAATTTCTAATTAATGTGAGAGGGCCTAGCCCACTGTGTGTGGTCAGGTGGTCCTTGGCTGTATAAGAACCCAGGCTGAGCCCGACCCAGAGAGCAAGCCAGTAAAGCAGTGCTCCTGGATGGTCTGTGCTTCATCTTTTTCTTCGGGTTCCTGCTTTGCTTAAGTTTCTGCCTTGGCTTCCCTCAGTGATGAACTGTCACTTAGAAGACTAAGATGAAAGAAACCCTTTCCTCCCCAAGTTGATTTTGGTCGGTGTTTTATTACAGCAATAGAAAACTAGCTAGGATGAAGGAATAGCTCCCAAAACTGTGAAAAAAAATTCTATCATTTAAACCATCCAGTGTATAGATAGCACTTTGCTATTGTAGTGCTAGCAAATTTTTACACCCCAGATAGGCTTCAGGCATGAGAAACTCTCTAGGCTGGAGGCAGCTAGCCTATGGTCTAGATTCTTGGGGTTTCCCACAAGAAGAAATGAAGTTCTAAATAATTTTCAGTATTCATAAAAGCCTATGAGACATATATAAAATATGACTAAATAGAATTCCAGGTTTCATTGCTTTTAGCTGGAAGTATGCCAAACTAATATGATAGATGAGCTGTCTCCTACTAATTAGAAACTTTAATTAGTGGCATATGAGTATCATTAATTTAAACGTGAAACTGTTTATCATTTAATAAAGTTTATTTGTTTGGTAAATAAAAATGTTAGGGAGCTGGAGAGATGGCTCAGCAGTTAAGAGCACTGGCTGCTTTTGTAGAGGACTGAGGTTCGATTCCCAGCACTCACATGGTGGCTAACAACCATCCATAACTCCAGTTCCAGGGGATCCGATGCCCTCTTCTGATCTCTGCGGGCACTGCAGGGCACAGGTGCACTTACATACATGCAGGCAATACACCCATACACATAAGAAAATAATAAATAAAATATTTTTTAATGTTGGAGTCTTTGATGAAGAGGTTACACAGGAACTTGAGTCTTGCAAGACCCATGCTGCTCAATCCCCCTCATATTTCTGGAGCTCTTTCAGGAGGTGAGTCTTGCAAATTACATGGCCTTAGTCATTTGTTCACACCAGGCATGTTAAGAGTCATTGCTTTCAAATATGGGAGTGTTGCTAACATTTGCTGCATACTGGATTTGATTATTTTCCTGAGTGTCAATGGAATTTGACATGAAAATGATCTCAAGATAAAATACGAAAATAATCCAATAAAATGAGTGGCTGGTCCTCACTCTTTAACCTAAGAGAAATAATATTAAAATGCAAAAACACCATATACCAGGTATCAAGTGTCCACAATATATTATATGAGAAAGTTTGCAAACCAGTATTTTAAGCAGAAATGCACATTTTATTTAAAAAATAATAGCAACAGTATGAAGAACACAAGCTTCTATTAAGGACAGAAATTTATTAAATGTTTTATAGCAAAATATTGAGCTTACTCTATTACAACACACAGGCTTGAGGGTCTAAGAAGGATGGTGCCTCAGCTGAAGGAAGCTGACTAGAAACACAGGGTGGATTCCAGGGAGCTGCACACACAGACAGATCTTCTCTCTGTCCTCCAGGAATGGCAACAGTGATATTCAGAAGTGTTTATACTTTGGGAAAAAACAGTAAAATTTCCTGAGTATTCCATTAAACAATTCTTTTTAAAAAATTGTGTTTATTTTTATTTTATGTGTATGAGTGCCTGGTACCCACGGAAGCCAGAGGAGGCCACCAGATACCCTGGAACTGGAATTACAGGTGGTTGGGAACCGCCATGTGGGTGCTGGGAATTGAACCAGAGTTACCTGCAAAAGTAGCCAATGCCCTCAACTGCTGAGTCATCTTTCCAGCAACCCCCCCCTCCCCCCGCCCAACAAATAATTCTTAAAACTGTGTTACCTTCATGGAAAACATGAAAAATTTCTCATGGAAACATCCTTTTAGTATTTAGTATCTTTGATAATTTAATATCTTTGAGAACCACAACCCTAAATTTTTATTAAACTTGGACAAAGTCTTTGGAGTTAGCATAAGGCTTTCCAGTACTAGGTAAATGACAAGGCATTTTTATCAAGGACTAAATTTCCTTAAACCACCAAGCTAGTGGTATGTGAAGATAGGAAGAAATGTCAAGGTGAGCTGATTATTTTCCAAATAATAAAAATACTGGGTGAAAATAAAGATATGGGGTTGAGTGGGTATTGATATTAGCAGATGGCTGGAAAAGGTATAGAGAGTAGCTATTATTAGTTAGCAAATAAAGTACCTTCATTCATTGTTAACATTTTCTCCTTGTGTATCACTATTTCAAGTTACATAGCATGTCTACAAACTACATTGGTTCACTCATTTTTCAAGTCAGTTTGCAAAGAAATTTTGATTCTGAATACCTAAAATTTCAGTTAATATCTTTTTGATATTTATCCTTAAAGCATTTTTGGCTTTCTTAGCCATGGTTTCTTCATTAAAGAACAGAACTGATGTTAAAAAAGTATGGCCCACAAAGCTGAGGGTAAGATTTACAACCAATGTAACCAAGCTGTATCACACAGAAACTAGATCTTTCTCCTTTGAAGTAATATAAGCAATCCTATATAAAACAACTACTCAGAAAACCACATCCTAAGATTCGTACTCACATTCATTCATATATATAAAATCAATTGGGCCTGAACTTACCACTTCTTGCCCACACTTTGGTACCGTATGTTTTACATACTGGCCACTTCATTCTATGAAGATGACAATCAGTGATTGAATTTAAAATAAAGCAAGTTTTAATCTGAATGCAAGTATTTTGTATTCACATCAACAAAAGAAACCATGCTTCCGCAGAGTGAGAAAACAAAATTCTCCATAATCTAGAGTACTGTAGGGTCAGTAACCCCCCATACAGCCAAATCCATTACAGAATCAACCAGCCAATTCTAATAGACTGCAAACCATTTGTTTTTTGTTGTTGTTGTTTTTGTCTTTTTGTTTTAAAGCTTACAACCAATGCTTTAGGAAGGAAACACGGGTGAAACGCTTTTAAAATATATATACCCTTGGAAAATGATATATCTTTTAAACACTAAAACCTTGTTTCAGAAGTTCCTCGCTTTAGGTTGTTACTCAAAAACTCATCATGTTCAAAACTCAAGTTATTATGCGATCTTGATATCATAAGAAGCTTCTCCTTATTGGTAAAGTCTTTTTTGATTGCTGTTTGGGGAACCAGCAACCGATCCATCGGGTCCTCTTTGTTCTCCAATTTCATATATCCTTTGCTGTTGCTCCGATCTAAACGAGGCCAACTTGGATGCTTCCGTTGTTCTGCCTGCACAGTGAGCGTGGAGGGACCCCGGTCTAAGTCCAAGGATTTGGAGTGTGAGGAGAGCAAATGCAAGGATGTGTTGGATCCAAACTGTCTTCTAGCAGCCCCAGGAGACAAGAGCTGTCCAGTCCCAGGTCCAAGGGCCACAGAGGACTTGTACTGACTGGACAGGGCCTCCCCAATGGAATTATTCCTTGGGAGCAATGTGCTTGCTGGCTGGAAGGACTCACCAGTGCTGGGCAGGGGGACCACAAGGGAATCCATTGAGAGATTCCTGGACCTACTTTTAAGGTTGTCTGTGTCTTCAGTGATGCTGTCTATACTGGGTTCATCAATGACACAGTTATTAAGTTTGATCACAGGCAGTGTAAAAGCGCTGATGGATGATGACACAATGGACTTGGTGTCACATTTCTTGGAGGTGCTGGTTTTGTCATTGGTGGTCTTGGATGGAGGTGGATAGAGGCCAAAGACAGACACAGAACTGTCGGACAGCAAAGGGGGCATAAGGTGCCCCAGGCTCTTACTTTCACTTAGCATCTGCTCATCCTCCTCCACTGAGCTGTCCACCCGAAAGCTGCTCCGAAATCCTGAGAAGGAAGCCACGGTAGTGGCAGCCAGTCTGGAGGTGCAGGGGCTGCCATTCTGTTTTACCTCATCACCCATCAAGCCTGAGTACACACCATTCACATGCTTCTGCTCCTTGAGCCTCAGGCTGTGGATGTCAATGACCGTGGAGTAAATGTCTCGCATGTGGATGATTTTGGTCTCTTTGTCCCGGTTCTCATGAAGGATGGCATTAGCACAGATGAAAATAAAAATGCCAATTCCCATGGTGAAGGGGCCAAGCATCTTCATCTTATCAGAATGCAGATGCTGTTCAAAGAAGCGCACCACCACACCACCTTGGTTTCGAACCACCTGTGTCTCATTGGTGGACAGTGTTGTCTCTGCATTGATGAAATGTTCCTTCTGTGGCCAGTATCCCAGGATAGCCATTGCAATCCCTATGATAGATACGAGCACTCCCAGAATGAGGAAAAAGCCAGATGGGGAATAAAGCCTGATTTTCCCACGAACTACCACAACATCAGCCCTTGGGCGCCTCCGGACTGGTTTCTGGTCCTGGGCAGCTGGTGAGGGGCTGAGATTGACATGGTGCTGCGACCTGGCAGAGTCCTGCCTCTTCAGGGCAGCCAGGCCTGTAATCACCCCTCCAGTGGCTATCATGACTCCGTCTTGTGCCCTGAAAAGAAGGGAAACAGATGATCCATACATATTCATGAGGAAGCTCAGAAATTCGGTTTAAAGACTGCTTACATGGGACTTGGCAGCTATTGTTCCAGAAGAATAACCTTTAAATTCTCACAGTTTGGGTAGAAGTTATGTTAACCAACTAATGCATATTCCTTGATATTTGCTTTTTTGGTTAAGTGTTTCTAGCATTGATACGCTGTGAATTCAAAAAATTCCATTTAAATGATTGTCACTTATTGCATAATGCTGTCTCTTGGTTCTCTCTCTCTCTCTCTCTCTCTCTCTCTCACACACACACACACGTATACACATAGATACACAGGTTTCCATCATTGCTTATGTTATTTTAAAGAAATGGAAGAAGGAGCTGGGAAGATAGCTCAGTCGATAGTGTTTGCCTTGCAAACATGAGGATTTGAGTTCAATCCCCCCCAAAACCAGGTGTGTGGCATGCCCATGTAAGCCGAACACCGGAAAGACAGAGCCAGAAAGATCCCTGAGGTTCTCAGGCCAGCCAGCATAGTGAAATCGGTGAATTCCAGGCCAATGAGAGATCATCTCATATAGCAAGGTGGATGAATCTTAAGGAACAACACTGGAGGTTGATTTCTGGCCTCCACATGCATGCACACATTCATGTATGTATGCATACACAGATTCACACCTATGTAAACACACATGTACAAGCACAAGCATACACACACAGGAAAAAGGCAGACAACAGGCAAAAGCGAACCTCTAGACTTACAAAGGAACACATTCCTCTGCTTCAATATAACTCTTGTGATCTCCTTCTGCCACATTTAATTTCCTGCTCAATTTTATTCCTTACCTCCCTGTTTCCATGGATATTACTTGCTATTTCAATTTGGGCTTTTCCTCCTTTACCGCAAAGTAGACCTACCCTGCTCCTCTGCCCCCAGGGTCCTGTCCTTGGCCACCTTCTTGTCTGACTCTCCCTTGGCATTCATAACTACTCCCACATCTTCCATAATGTCCCTTATGCTGATGAGTCCCCAGTCTGCATTTCAGATCGTACTCTGAATTTCAATTTCACATTCTCCACTGCCACCAGGGGAGCACAAACACAGCCACTCACCACTGGCAGAGCTGAGCTCACATTCTACCCTGTACCAGTGGTCCCCACGCCTGCCTTTTTGGTGCAGTCAGTTCACAGGCTTGGCTCTGCACAGTGATCCTTCTCCCCTCACTCTTCCCCTTCTCTTTCAACAAGGTTCTAAATCATAGAAATTTTCAGGACCTAGTGTGTCTCAGTTCCATCCCCCTGCTCCAATCCCATTCTTCCCAGGTAAGCGCAGCTCTTTTTAACTACAGCTGGACATCTGGAGTAACCTCCTAAAGGCTCTCTGATATTCAGGTTCCTCTTCCCGCACCACTGAGCTTACATAGTAATAGCAGGTTATCCTGTGACATGCCTCTAAAAGAGTGCAAAGATGGAGAACGTAGTCCTCATTAGCTACCAAAGTCTGATGTGGAATTTCAGACCCCTTAGGTTCAAGTTCACCTCTGTTCCTTTTAATGAGCATGCAATTGAAGCTCAACTGCTATTCCCTGTTTCTCATCTATACCCCATGCCACATTTGTTATAGTTAGTGTCAGCTGTCAGCCTGACACAAACCTAGTGTCACCTGGGAAGAAGGAACCCCACCTCCCCAACTAAAGAATTTGCTTGATCAGACTGGCTTGTGGGCATGTCTGTGAGGCATTTTCTTAATTGTTAATTGAAGTAGGAAGGCCAAGCCCACTGTAGATGGTGCCATCCCTGGGCAGGTGGGCCTGGGCTGTGAGCTGAATGTGATCAAAATACATTGTATAAAAATTTTAAAGAATTAATAAAAATATTTGTTTAAAATAAAATGAATAAAATTAGACTGAAAAATAAAAGAAAGGTTAAGTGTGCAAGCCAAGGGAAGCAAGCCAGTAAGCAAGGTTCCTCCATAGCTTTTGCTTCAAGCTCCTGCCTTGAGTTCCTGCCTTGGCTTCCCTTGATGATGGGTTAGACATAGGCTGCAATAAATCCTTTCTTTCATAAGTTGCTTTTGGTAATGGTGTTTATATCACATCAACAGAAAGCACACTAGAACAGTATCGTTTCTGAGATTTTGTTAAGAATGTTTCAATGGTCCTGCCCAGATCTCCCTTCACTCCCATCAGCCCCAGCCTTCACATACTGACATATGGATAGTCATCAAAGCTCCTTTCCACCTCCTTTATAAAGCCTTCTCTGACTCAGTCCCATCTCCCACACAAGCGCTCATTCCCCAGAGCATTTGAGCAAGTTTTCTAGGGCACTTGACAAACACAGAATATCTGAATTCTCCATGTCTTGTGTTCAAAATCAATTTTAATTCATACTTTTATTATTCACTATAGTGCCTTGCATAGTCAGTGTTTAAGAAATATTTGCTAAAATGTTGAATAAGGGAGTAAATCTTTTCCTAAGGTTTGCTAGTTGACCACCTAATTATAATACTAATTTTTATAAATATACGAACAAACAAAATTAACATTCAAACAAAAAGAAACATTTGTGAGTTGGTAAAATTTCTATCTTGTTTTATAATAAACAGTCCTCAAACTGCCAACTATGGTTGGTAGGGAAACAAAGATATTTTAAGATCCACTAGGTTTTTGACAAATTTCCGAGAGGGCATCTAATTTTGTCTTCCAGGGTAAAGCTCTCCTTTTGAATTCTTAGTTATGATTTCTGAACTGTTTTTAAATAACAGGGTTGTGGATGGTATGTACCGTTTTAGCAAGCTGGTGAGTAAACTCAGCTTGCAGTGGAATTATAAGTAGGATTAAGAGAGTTTAGTGTTGGAAGAATAAGCAAAACTGTAATCCACAGCTCCAGTCTATGAGTTTTATCAAAGTATATAGCTATAGCTTAGAACCTCTTCCAAACCATGGCTGAAAGATAGCTTAGTGTCAACCTCTGTTTTCTTGACTCCAAACCAGTTCCAAATGTTTGAAGGAAATGCTTTTAGATGGCAGACATCTAGCCCAGCTATTTCCATATGGTAGGCTAAGGAAACAGTTGGAAACCTTTTTGAATAGATGGATTTAAGGAATAAATGGAAACAAGGGTAAATGACTTAAAAGCGACCACAGAAAGCTGCATTCCAAAGAGATTTCTAGACCTCTACACTTGTTAAAATATTTTACTAGCATGGCCATTTTCCATTCCTGAAGTTGGTAGAGGAAATGGGGCTGGAAGAGAAAAAATATTTTGAGGAGGTTTGAGTACAGAAAGGAGAGGGAAGAAAGACTGGGCTTCCTTGTGACTGGGCAAAGTAAGCAGGCTGGGCTCGAAAGAAACAACACAGGGAGCTTAGGACTGTGCCAAGCTGTAGAAAGCAAAAGACAAAACTTCTAAAGAAGATTGAAAATAAAGAGAACTTGGTGGCTGTGTTGGGATTATGTTATTATTTCAGTCAACCTGCAGAAAGACCCTCAGGAATTAGCAAGATGAGGGTTTTGTTCCACTTTAACTAGATTCAAGGCAATCCTGCACTGCACGATCCTCTGTTATCACTCAGAGATCCAAACTAGACCCCATGGGAAAAGCAAAGGAGCAAATTCAGTCACTGCTTCACAGAGCTTGAAATCTAATGGAAGAGCTAATAGACTGCATAAACCAGCCCGGGGTAACTCCCAGAATGAAAGTTTCAATTAGGAAGGACGTTCTACAAGGCTGCATATGGACGACAGCTTTTTCCCATTTATCACGGTAAGAAATCAGGTTAACAACATTTTAGATGAGGCCAGGGGAAAGCCAGTGGGCTGGAGAGCAGGCATGTGGCCTGCCTTTGGCTTATAGCTTCCAGCTGCAGAGGCATCCAGTGTATAAAGCTATTGGGGAGGGAAGGAAAGGGGAAGAGAGGGCTGGGTCGTGGAGAATGGCAAATAGTATTCCTAAATAAACACTTTCCTCTCATACTCATCTGCAATGGAGTTGCTGTAAGACACAAATAGCATGGTCATTACTTTAAGCAAATCAGTCTCAACCAATAGAAGGATGCAGTAGGGAGGGACTGCATGAGGATACTAGAGGCTGTTTTACTGCAAGAAGCCTAGAGAAAAGGAAACCCAGAGGCAGGAATCTACTGGCTTCCCCATCTTTAAGCTGCAGTGCCAGTGTTCAGCATATGCAAAGCAGGCCTAAATAGTATTTTATAATGTTGAAAACCCACATCTCCCCATACTATACTTTAAAAATATTTAATTGCATTTATTTATTTATTTACTTATTTATTTATTTGGGGTTTTATTTATTTATTTGTGTGTGTGAGGGCATGATGGTGCACATGTGGAGGTCAGAGTCTGTTCTCTCCTTCCACTACGAGGATCCCAGGATCAAACTCAGGTTATTAGGCTTGGCAACAAGCACTTTTACTTACAGGATATCTCACCAGCCCTCATCCTACACTTTTATCGCCTTTAGGTAGCCTATTCCTTGAAACAAATCATAGCATTTTTTCCTAGAACAACAGAAATATCAGCCCCACCCTAGTCCTTATCATTAGGCGTTGCTCTAAGTTCTTTACCTATAAATACATTTATTTTCATAAATTGATAGGTGGGTGTCAAATTATGCTATATATATTTCACAAATGGGAAAACTGCACCTCACAGAGCTTATATAACTTGCTTAGGATCATGCAGAGCCTATGTTTTTATACAGATGGGGACTGGCCTCCACATTTACTTTCAACTAAGGGTTTTTTTGTATTTATTTTTCTTATCTTGATTTCTGTTTCTGTCATAACATTTAAAGGATGCTCCTTTGCCACAACTATGACCGTGAAGCAAGTCCATTTCTCAAGTTACAACCTAAAAAAAAAAAAAGAAAAGAAAACTGTGGAGAACACAGAGCTGGATGCATAACTGGGGGTGAGCATCAGCCTCTTACGCATCTCTGAATCCTGTTCAGCATCCCAGATGCAGCCTCAATAGACCACTCTCCCT